TTTTTTTTCTTTTTTTTTTTGCAGTACTGGAGATTGAACTCAGGACCTTGCACTTGCCAAGCAGGCGCTTATTCTACTAAGCTATCTGCCTGGCCCCCTACTTTTAAAACATAATAAATTTTCTGAAATAAAATGTGAATGCAGCCAGAACATGGTAATGTATGCCTGTAGCCCCAGTACTTGGGAGGCTGAGACAGGAGGATCACCATGAGTTGGAAGCCAGCCTTGGCTACAGAAACAAGTTCAAGGCCAGCCTGCACTACATAGTGAGACTTTGTCTCAAAAAAAAGTTAATGCAATTAACAGGCCAGGCATCTCAAGATTATTATAATGTTTATCGGTTTATATGCACTTGATAACTGTGCATTTATGTTAGCTTAATAAAGTTAGAAATTTATCTGGGGTTCATTGTAATTAAATTAGTATTTTATATATGTTTATATTTCAATCTGAACCTCAGATTTCACAGTGCCAGTAAGTTCCTTTGGAATTTTCAAAGATGTATGATTGATCAAATATGATTTTCTACTGAAGGCTGATTAAACAAAGCTTAAATTTGATTTGTAACTCAGAGAAGCTGTGTATGTAATTTAAAGACTGTTGCATGTAGACAGTGTTTTCAGATTTAACTACTCATTACATTTGTGTCTAGTGTAGTTTGTTTAACCCTTTTTTGTTTGTTTGTTTTCTGAGCAAGGGTCTCACTATGTACTTCATGCTTGAACTCACTACATATCCCAGGATGTAGCTCTTAACTCACAGTGATCCTTCTGCCTCAGCCTCCCAGGTGCTAAGATGGGGTATGCCATGATACCCAGCTTTCTTAACCTTTTTTCAATGAGTTTATATACTGCAAAGTAGAATAACACTTTTCCTACCTCAGAGTTGATGCAGCCTTTCATAATGGATGTGAAAGCTTTTCATATTATGTAGCACTACACATATTGTAGGATATTGCTTCAAAATAAAATGGTGTCCAATCCAAGTGTTTAAGTCAGCATATCTCAAATCATGTTTTAGAGCTGTTAGGGAAAAGGATATAGGCACTGGTTATAGAGATAAAGATTTCCACTATTTAAATAGCCGTTAGTGGGCCAGGGAGATAGCTCAGTAGAATAAGCGCTTCCCTGGCAGGCGCAAGGGCCTGAGTTCAATCCCCTGTTCCACCAAAAGAAAAAAAACAAACAAACTTTAGTATATGCCCTCTGTAGAAGACATCAACTAATACTGACAGCTGAGTTTTTTTCTTTTTAAAAGGTGGTTGGGAATGGTGGTACACACTTATAATTCCAGCACTTGGGATTATAGGCCAAGGCAGGAGGGTTGCTCTGAGCTCAAGGCCAGCCTAAACTACATAGACATAGTAAGACCATGTCTCAAAAAAAGAAGTGAGGTGGTTGTGGTCTTCCTTAGTGGTTGGAAGAATAGCAATAGATATCACTGTGCAGGTCATGCCTCTTTCACTGATATGCTTAGTGCTTCTGCTATACTTATTTTCCCCAGTATTGTGATATATAGATATTTGGTGTCAAGTACATTAAATTTTATGATAGTAAAATAACAGATATATTAATATTTGATATGATGCACAAACTATATCAATGCTTAATTATTGCTTATTTTTACCAAAAATTTTTTTACACATATATTGATTATTCTCTTAAGACATAATTGTGGTAGCTGGGTCAGGTGACACACACATATAATCCCAGCAGTTAGGAATTGAGGCAGAAAGATCATGAATTTGGGATCAGCCTAGGCTACATGGTGATTCAAGAATAGCCTGGACTACATACATGGTGAGACACTGTCTCAAAAAAATAGTAATTGTCTCTTGTTAAATTTTATACAAGTGAATCAAAGTTTTATTTAGGCTCATCTTTCCTTAAAGTTTGAGTTAGTATGTTTTTAAATCCTATTTAGGAAAATGATTATTGTCAATTTAACAGATACAGATTTAGGGGCCAGGGAGATGGTTCACCTGAGTTCAATCCCTGGTTCGGCCCCCCCCAAAAAAACAAAAACAAAAAACAGAAAACAGAAAACAGAGAGCGAGAAAGTGAATTTGGGAGCTGGGGAGATAGCTTAGTAGAATAAGTGCTTGCCTGGCAAGCACAGGGTCCTGAGTTCAATCCCCAGTACTGCCAAAAATAAATAAGTAAATAAATAAATAAATACAGATTTAGAAATAGTATTATATATGCAAAAATTGACTAAAAGTAAGGTACAGGGCCAGGGAGATGGCTCAGTAGAATAAGCACTTCCTTGGCAAGCACAAGGGCCTGAGTTCAATCCCTGGTTCTGCAAAAAAAAAACAAAAG